CATAGATGGCCACGGCCTCGCAGAAAATGATGCTGGGGGAGAAAGGTAAAGCCTAAGCACAATGTCCCAGAGCAGCCCCCACCACTTCATGCCCAGCCAGCCAGCAGCCAGAGCCCCCACAGCCATATCTAAGCCTTCCCCACTGCTACCAAGGGCAGAAAGGCAGTGCAGCCTACCCACTGCTTTCCACTCAAACAAGGGGGAGCTGCCAAACAGAAAGGCTGGGTGCTGGTCACACTGTGCCACCTGAATAAGCAGCAACAGCCCTGTGGGAACCAGGCCTGGGGAGCCTTGCCCTCCACCAGCCCCCTTCTGCTCCTTAGGGGAAAGGCTGTGCAAGGTCTGGCCAGGGGAACCCTCTCCTGGGGCAGGAAGTGTGATCTCAGGGTGTTTGTTTTGAACACACTGGGCTTATTCACTGCATGATATCACACAGTGACTCTTCAAGGCAGCACTCTGGCTCCTTTATGGCTCTTTGTTTGGACAGCAAACAGCATCAGCAGCTCAGCAAGGAACAGTCTGCCAGCAGCACCCAGCTAGATAGGACAGGAGCCTCTGCACCAGGCTGGGACCTGCCCTACTCAGGCATAGCATGAGCATGAACTCCAGGTCTGTGCTTACCTCACCAGGTTCTTGGTTTTGATCCGAGGGGCTTTGACTCCACCACCAATGATGCTGGAACCAGTGATGTAAATCCCCCTGTAGCAGAGAAGGGTGGTTGGCAGAGGATCTGGCACTTGCAGAAAGATTCAATAGGGAAACCAGGATCTTCCAGCTGAGCAAAGAACAGGGCATGCAGCTGCAGGACACTGCAGACTTGACCTGTCCAACCCCAGGGTACAAGTGATCCCAAGCTCCACCATCTACACCAGCAGAACTGCTGGGGCACAAGAGCCACCACCGCATGGCCTGGGCTTCCAGAGAGAGCCAAGGTTGTCCCTGCATCCGTGCTGCCATCTGTAAGGTGATCTGCTGAGACATCCCAGGAGCATAGCAACCTGGCCCCACTGCTGTGATGACCCACACAGCTCCACACCCTTGCATGCACATGCTGTTCTGCCCCTTCTCTGCTGTGGGAAAACCACAGTGTATGCACACCTACTGAGGTGGGACAGCAGGAGCCTGCTGAAGAGCCAGCCCCACTCACCAGGCAGCTCCCACCACTGACAGGGAGATGGCCAGGCCAATGCCCAGGTTGGACCACATGAAGGGTGAGGTCTCCGTCAGGAACCTGGAAAGGAAGAAGTGCCCCGAGTTAGCACACAGGATGAGCCCCTTAGTCATGCTGCACAGCCCCAAAACAGGTGCCCCCCACTCAGTCATGCAGCCCACAATGGCTTGGCTATTGCCAGACAGTGGACACGAGAGTCATTCTCTACCAACCAGCAGACTGCCCACATGGACTGAGATCTTCCTCCCAGAATTTCACTGTGAAGGGGAAGCCTGGGCTGGGAAAGGCAGTAATGGCTGCACCAGGACCCTGTATGGAGCCAACCACACATACACGTGCTGCATCTATCTTGCCTCACACAGAGCAGAGGCACCGTTCACTATAGCTCTTATTGCCCCGTGATGCATGACCATTCCTGTTGCTCTAAAGCAAGTGCTGTTCCCTGCAGGCACTGCCAACACTGCCCATCTCCTCACACAGCCCTGAGGATAACAGTATTCACAGGGAACTCACCAGGCCACATCGAAGCGGAAGCCCAGGTCAAATATTGTGTAGCAGATCCCTGGAAAGCAAGAGTGACACAGAAACCTTCACACAGGCACCCGCGACCTCCTGGCACTGCTGTTTCCTCCCACACCTCTGAATTGCCATAGCAGAGGCCCAGGAGCACAACACAGCATGCATATGGGCTACTGGAAAGACTGGCTCAGGCACACAGAGCTGTGAGGAAGGGTGTCTGTCTGTCTGTCCCTGCCCCCCGAATCCAAACCCATTGATCCCAGCACTCCCACATCAGCTCAGGACAGAGACAGCCCAGACATGTGATATTACAAGAGCCCACTGTGATACTCCAGTCCTCACCCAGCAGAGGATCACGGTGGTTGTTGCACCCATTGTTCCCTGACCCTGCTGAGCACCCAGAGGCTGTGCAGGGCTACCTGGGTTCAAGGGCAACCCTGTCCTGGTTTTGGTGATGACAAACCCACAGCCCTGAGCTCCAACATGGCCTCCATCCACATCACCCAACGGCTGAACTCTGCTGGAGAGCCATGGCACATGGTGACCAGCTGTGAGCTCTTCTCTGTGCCCTGACTGACCATCACATGCTGCTCCATCACCATCACACCATGGTCTGTGCCATTCATCCAGGATCCCATCAACACCAGAAGCTGCAGCTGCCCCCCAGCACCCACATTTCCAAGACTGTGGACATTCAAGACATGCCTGTTGCCCTCAGCATTCCCCCCAGGGTTAGTCAGTTCCAGATAAATCATATTCCAACACAGGCAGGAAGACACCAAAGCACAGCCCTGAGAAACCCAGACAAGCTCTTCCTCTCCAGGAACGGATACAAGGACAGCTTGCCCTGCTGTACCCTGAGTGCTCCTTTCCCATGCTGAATAGCAGCTGGGAGTCACACCCAGCATTGCTGCACAGCCTAAGCACAAAGTGCACCAAAACCCTGCCTTGCTCTGAGCTCTTGAGCTGGAAAACCAGCTATAGACCAGAAGAGACACTTGCTCTTCACATTGCTCACTGTGCACAGCTGGGAAAGAGATGGTGACCCAGCCCTAAGGGACAAATAAGCACAGGCAGCATTGGCACTCTCTGCTCCACACCAGATAAGGAGGGCGAAGAGACGGCTTTACCATTGCCGACCAGAGCCAGTGCCTGTGTGATACCAGCCCTGCGCACAGCCAAGAAAAGATGAAATGGGGGACTTCTGACATGCTTAAAAGCAGCAAAGAGGCTACAAAACATGCCCTGCAGGACAACTCATCCCATGTGAGGGCCTTGGCAGTGCAGCATAGGGAGACCTGTCCCCATCATCCCTGTGTGTTACACCTCACACTAGGGGCTCAACACCCCCATCACAACATACAAGCACTGCTGGGTGAGCTGGCCCAGAAATGGGAAGTGGTGATGCTCGTCACTCCTCCCGGAGCAGAATCAGGGTGCCCCCACCCCTGCAGTGATGCACACAAAGGAGAAACAGTGCCACCATGAAGAGGGAGCATTGAGGGAAGCCACATCCCAGCCTGCACGTCTGGTGACCTTCAGGGGTGATCTCTACCATGCTGGGCCTGGCCAACCTGTGACTTGTGTTTTAGCTTTGCTGCTTGGCTGGTGGAGCAGGAACTGAACCCAACCAGCCCCAGCTGCCCTCACTCCCCAGGAGTAGCAAAGAAGAGCTACAACCAGCTCAGGGCAGATCCTGAGGGCATCTTATACCTCTTCAAGAGCAAGTGCAGCCTTGGATTCATATACAAGAGGAACAGCGTGAAAGACACTTTCCTGTGAGTTCTGGCTCCCAGCCCTGTAGCCATAAGGACAGAAAAGAGTCAGGGCAACAGGACCAGAGCACCAAAGTAGGGCTCAGGACAAGGAGAGAAAGCACTGAAGAAACACCACTGCAACAGTGCATCGAGCAAGACCACTTCCTGCTCATGCCTTCTCTACAAAGGGATTAGAGCAGGGAAGGGGAAGTTAAGAATATCTGTGCTCAGTTTGTTGAGATTTTCCAACAGCCAAGTTTACACTGGTGTGAGCCCATGATTCAGAGCACCCAGTAAGGCAGCCCTGACACCGGCACTGGGTTCGCCAGGCCCTGGAAACATGAGGGAGTGAGACACACTCCGCTCCTGACTCGCTCTCTCCCCTCACCCAAACACTGAGGCAGGAGCCAACGTCTCCTCAGCCTCTGCCTGGCTGCACTGAAAGAGGAAATAACCAGCAGCTGCAGCACAGAATCTATCCACTACCCCACAGGCAGTCCTCAGTGCCCCTGTGCCCAATGGGATCAGCAGCAAAGCCTGGGCTGCCACAAACTGCAGCACAGCCACACACCAGGTCTGCAATTATCCGGACAAAACTGCACCTTTACTTAATGCTGTGGCAAAGCAGGAGGCAAACCCAGGAGACATCCACTGTCACAGCCTAGAGAAACAAGCACCTGCCTTTACCTCCTATGGTCTGCCAAACCCAAACCAAACGCTTGACTGGCACCAGCACCGTCCTCCTCTCACATACACAGAGAAGCAGATGGGCTGCTCAAGCCGGACAGCCTCAGAGCACTGAAAGCCGCATGTGCAAGGGTGCCTGGCATTTACACGTCACTGCTGGGGGTCCAACCCCCCCAAGGAAGCAGCCGAGAGCACCATGGGGTGACATGCAGCCTGAGGAGCCCCACAGCAGCGCGCCGGTGCCACAGGCCAGCCCTCCCATCTCCTCCCGTGAGTAGTTCGACCACCGGGGGCCTGTCAGCGCTGCGCACTCCGCTTCCCCCTTCCTTTTGCACACCACAGCCCCTCTCCGAGCCCGAACCTCAGTGCCCAGACCCCCTCTTACCCCACAAAACCCGCCCCACAACCCGTCCCCGCGACCCCCCGCTGTCGGTGACCCCAGCCCCGGCGCTGACCGACGCCCAACATCGTGGTCCAGAAGGCGAGGCCGAGCCCCGAGTACAGCAACGCGAGCCCCGTCATGGTGGCGGCGGCGGCGGCGGTGCAGGACGGGACCGACCGGACGGACAGAGCGGGGCCGAGCGGGCCGGAGCGCGCGTGTCACCTGACCCACGCGGCACACGTGAACGGAACCGCAGCGCCCGGGCGGGAGTAGTGTGACGTTACCGCCTCTATCGCGCCCGCTTATTGGTTGCCGGGCCTGACAGCTGCAAGGGAACTACATAGACCATAACACACCGCGAAAAAACGCCACTTCCCATTGGCTTCTCTTCTCCTCCTCCGCCATGCCGTGAGGCGCGATAGGCTCCGCTTTACCAGGGGCGGGATTTCCGCGGACGGGGAGGGCGGGGCCTTCTCCCGGAAGCAGGCTCAGAGGCGCTCGTGTGGCGCGCCCGGCTCCGCGGCGCCATGGCAACGGCCTTCAGCAGCGACGGGGAGGCCGTGCTGAGGCGGGAGCTGGGCCCGGCGGCGGCACCATCGGCACCGCGGGGCGACCTCGACGGCTTCTACGAGATGGGCCGGGCCGCAGCCTTCGTACGGGGCGGCGGGTTCCGCAAGGTGAGAGGGGCCGGGGGAGGAGGAGGCCGGGGGCAGCGGGTCTCCCCTTCCTGCTGCCTCACCCCCGTTCCCCCTTCCCCAGGTCGCCCTCCAGTTGCCGGACGAGCTCCTGGCGGACGCGGCGACGGTGGCGGCCCGGATGGAGGCGGAGACCGGGGCTGAGGTGTATGTCCTAGGAGACACCACGTACGGCAGGTCGGTGTGGGGCAGTGCGGGGTCCCGGCAGTCCTCTGCGGGCAGGAACGGGGTGCGCGCCCCTTGCCTGGCAGGGCCAAGGGCCGGAGTGGGAAGAGCTCGGCGGTACAGAGCCGGTCTGACACCGGGTTCTCCCCACAGCTGCTGCGTGGACGAAGTGGCTGCGGAGCACGCGTGTGCCGAGGCAGTGCTGCACTACGGCCCGGCCTGCCTCAGCCCCTGCAGGAAGCTCCCTGTGCTGCACATCTTCGGGAAACAACCCCTGGATATCGGGCGTTGCGCAGAGGCCTTTCGGGAGCTCTACGCCGACCGGCAGAGCCGTGTGGTGGTGCTGAGCGATGTGGTCTATGCCCATGCCATGGGTGAGTGTTCGGGGTCAGGGAGGATGCCTCTGGCGCTGCTCTGCTCTCTGCAGAGCTGCCGCAAGGGGGGCAGGCAAGCGGGCCACGCTGTCAGGGTTGATTTCCCTCCTCTCGCCCGATCTGCTGTCCCATCTGTGGGTTGGATCTGTGGACATGCTTTATTCTCACTCCTGTCTTCCTTCAGGTGAACTGGAGCAGGAGTTGTGCCCCGAGTATCCCAATATCGTCTTCTCCAGGGTGGTGTATGGAGACCCTCCTGCCCCTGCACTGCCTGGGGAGCAGCGGCAGTTTGGTCGCCAGTTCCTGGTGGAGGCACCAGGAGGGCTGCAGGACTGTGCCATGTTCTATGTGGGCACCGAGGGCCTGACCCTTACCAACTTCATGCTGACCTGGAATCGCTGCTCCTTCAGCTCCTTTGACCCCACCACCAGCTGTGGCCGCAGGGAGACCCTCAATGTCAACCGTGCCCTGATGCGACGGCTCTACCTGGTGGAGCGGGCCCGGGATGCCCGAGTGGTGGGCATCCTGGTGGGCACCCTTGGTGTGGCAGGCTACCTGGATGTGCTGCAGCACCTCCGGGAGCTGCTGCGCCGGGCTGGCAAGCGCAGCTACACACTGGCTGTGGGGAAGCCAAACCCTGCCAAGTTGGCTAACTTCCTGGAGGTGGATGTCTTTGTCCTGGTGGCCTGTGCTCAGAACTCCTTGCTAGACTCTAGTGACTTCTACCGGCCTATTGTAACCCCCTATGAGCTGGAACTGGCCTGTAATCCAGCTCGTGAATGGACAGGGAATTACCTCACTGACTTCCGAGACCTGCTGCCAGGTAATAGCTAAAACCAGCTTCCCAGTACCCTCCTGGGACACATCCTGCCTTGCTTCCCTGCGTGGAGGCTGCAGTTCCTGCGCTGGCCAGAGGATAGATGTGAGCACCAGGCTAACGTTACTGTTTTCTGGCAGGTGCCTGTGCACACGTTGAGCTCCCACCAGCCATTCCTGCAGCGGAGGCCGTTCCTGATGTCTCACTGATCACGGGGGAGATGCGTGCCACCCACCTCTGCGACCCCCCAGCCTCACAGCTGCCCCCCAGCACTGCCCTAGCCTGCAGGGACCAGACAAATGCTCTTGCAGAGATCAGCCCTGCTGGTTTGTGATTCGATTTCATGCTGGGGCTGAGCCCCAGTGCAGGTGTAGTGCTGCCTTCTCTGCTCCCAGTAACAATTCCCTTTCTGTCTCCTCACAGCCTCCTTCCTGGAGTCCCGCAGCTGGTGGGGCTTGGAGCAACAGCTGGGACAGACACCCGTTTCCAAGGCTGTGCAGGGCCGACGAGGGATTGCCATTGCCTATGAGGACGAGGGGCGTGAGCAGTCCTGATCTGGTAGCAGCGTTGACAGCCAGCCAGGAGCAGGGCCATGTGGGAGCCCAAGCACAGCCTGCCACCATGTGTTGGACCGATGGGGTCTCACAGGAGTCTGGGTCTGCCACCACCTGGCCCTGTGCTGGATGCAGCCTTCAGTCAGTAGTACCGTGGTGGGAGAGCAGGAGTTGCCTGTGTTCCTGAGGATGCCAGCACCACCCTGGTGCTCACAGCAGCAGGGCCAGGCAAGGTGCTTTGCCCAGACACAGCCTCAAGGGCTCCCCAGTGCAGGGCAGCTTTGGTCCTACATGGAAAGGTCACTGCTCCACACGAGCCTGTAGCACCAGGGAGCGAAGCTTTTGTAGGCTACAGTTGCTAACTGAATCTGAACTGAAAAGGACTTGTGAGTCCGAGAATAAACCATGGGATGAGGAACATGGAAGTAATACCAGGTGTCCCAGAGTGAAAACACAGATTGTTGACATCCCCTAGCCCACTCTGGGAGCGTCAGCTAAAACCAGGCCAAGAGAACAGAAGCCCAGATGTGGGATCGCCCAGAAATGAAAGCCGGTTCACAAGCTGGGCTGGGGAGTTAAGTAAGGCAAGGGGGAGAAGACTGACTGAGCAAGCCCCTCACCTGAGCTGAGGAGGAGTGGGGCACACACATACTGTACTGCAGGGAGGATCCCATATTCAGTGGGGATGGAGCGTCACCCCTTTCACATGGGCAGGACTGTTCCTACTCCGTGCCAGGCAGGAGAGCATGGGAAGCATGTATGGGCTGCTTTTGCATCCCTCCCATTAGCCAGGAGGGACAGGAGGCTTTGAGGCACCCCAGCCTTGATACAGGCACCTCCACTAGCCTCCATCCCAGAGGCAAGAGGCAGGCAAAGTCCAGTCACCACAATAATGACAGCCACAACATAGAAATATTCTTAATATAATTAGGTGCAGGGCCTCCCCCCTCCCAACCACACACATACAAATAAAAGCAGGGGGCAAACCCCCCCTGCCCAGCCAGCCACTACCACGGGCACAGGGGCAGCCTCCCCGCTGCGGGCACAGGCACCCACGGGGAAGTGCCAGGGAAGGGCTGGTAGCCCGGGTGCGGGGCAGTCCTGCCCAGGCTTCCTCCTCCCTGCTGCCGCCTCCTGCAGCCGGCACTCCTGTCCCCTGCGAGGGGGGAACATGCTGGGGGGAACAAAGATGCTGACAACGAGATGCGGCCACCAAATCTAGCTGAGGAGCGTCCTGAGTGGGTTAATTCTAGGTGGAGGGTTATTCTATGAGCCGTACTGCAGCAGGGTGGGGCGGATGAGGGGACTTCCTTGCAGGGAAGAGCTGGTCCAGGCAAATTGTCCACGGTCCTGGCCAGTTGCTCAGTAGTCTGCTGTGTACTCTGTGCCATGCAGCCCTCGGCACAGCAGGGTGAACTCCTTCACCATCTCCTTCACTCGCCGCTTGTTCACACGCTCTCTGCTAAGACGGAGGGAGAGGACAAACATGAAACAGGAGGGATGCATGAGGCCACACAGAGGGGGTCAGGCCCACCACATCCTGCGCGACACAGCTGCCACAGTGAGGGCACACAAACCTGAGGATCTGCTGACTGAAGGTCTCCTTCTGCTCAGCGCTGACACGAGCCGAGGGGAAGCCATCCTCCTGCATGGCTTCCTTGATCCAGACGCTCAGGTAGCTGAAGCAATGCTTGTTCAAGGCAAAGAGGATTTCTGCAAAGTGATCCATGAGGCTGCGGGAAGCCTGGCCACCGACACCCTGCCACAGAGCAGACAGACCCTGTCACCCTGCCTGCACCCACCCATACTGCTGGGCTGCCCGATCACAGCTCAGCAAGGATGCTGCTCAGGAACAGAGCCCAAAGCTCTGTGACCCCGGAGTCTCTCACCTCCAGCACTGCCTGCAGCAGCACTTTGCCATTCTCATGCACGACCTGTCCCACGGGGGCGATCTCTCCGCAGCGGGGCAGCAGCTCTGTCTGCAACACAGAGCCCAGCCCGATCAGTGCCACAGCAGGCTCCATACCCAACCTTCAGCCCTTCTCCTGCTCTCCCAGCTCTTGGGGGACTATACGATGCCACGATACTCACAAAAAAGCCACAGGATGCTTTGACTGTTGGGGCCTCTGGGAACTTGAGTGAAAGGACACCTGAAGGCAGAAATTGCTCAGGTTAGCAGCCAGAAACCCTACATGCCGTCCCAAATCAGTCCTATGGTCCCCTGCCCCTGGCTGGTCTGTGCCCAGCTCCAGAGGAGTGGGCCTGGCTTCTCTGCAGAGTGATTTGGAGCGTGGTACTCACCACACTGAAACACTGCTTTGACATCCAGGTTGCTACACAGGAAGAGGTCCGGCTTCCTTTTCAGAGCCTGCAAGGCACACAGACAAGCAGCATAAACCCAGCGCTGCAGAGGCAGCCAGGAAAGCCTCCGAGGAACCCAGTGCCCCAGACAGCCTCTGCCTGGATGCACACTTACCTGTGCACAGCCAGGGTAAACAGCAGATTCACACAGTACAGCAGGAAACCATCACTTCTCCCCACCCTCCCCAAAAGTGTCAAACAGCCAGGCAGTTTGCTACACTCAGAGTCTACCAACCCCAAGACGCAAGGATAAATGCCACAGTGGGCACTATGCACACAAACACTTTGGAGAGAGATGGGACACGGCGCCTGTCCCGCCAGAACCAGGCAGTGGCCACGCAGAGACCAGCCACGTGTGTGCTTTGCTGCTCTCCTCTTGAAGACACTGGCATCCATGGGGTCACAGCAACTGGCTCAATTGGTAACCCCAGACTGGGCCAGCAGCTCACTCTGCTTGGGCACAAACGACAAGGAGATGCCAGCGTTGCTTGGTTCCTGAGCAGCAACTCTTGAGATCAGAAACACTTTGTTATGTGATCCCACCAACCCTGTTAGGGGCCAAGCACTGCTGTTGGGTACACCCCAAGCTGTGGCATCTCGTGCAGTGGCTTGTCTCACCCTGTGCTGGTATAGGGACTGTTACTGGACAGAAATGTTTCAGCCTGAACCTTCCACTCCATGGGAAGGGTTTCAGCCCTGCCACAGCGATCCTGCTATGTAAGGCAGCCACATCTGTGCCCTCACCACGTCACCATACCCACTGCTGCAGGCCAGCACTGGGGATGGCAGCCATGCCCCCTGCCCTGCTGTCGCTGTGGCACTGGGGACAGCAGCCAGTGGCCCTGCTCTGTGCCTGGAGCACAAAGAGCAGGATACCAGGCAGGCAGCCTTTGGGCTGAGCTGTGTGCGGGGCCAATACTGACCACTGAGACTGCTCCCCTCAGATAAAAGCAGTGACAGCTTTTAGCCAGCACCACCCAGGATGCATGGCCATCTGCCCACAGCCATGGTCTCTACTTGGAACAAAATAGACCAATTTCCCACCCCTTCTTCAACAGGGAAAGCCAACGGCCATCTGCCCAATGCAGAGAACATATGCTGGAGACAAGAAGCTGAGTTGCAGGTTTCAGGGTTGCCCCATCTCCTTTCTGACCCTACACACACTGAAAGAGAGGACTCAGGTTTGGCTACTGAAGCATCACTATACAGGCAGATCTGGCACACCAGATACAAGTGAAGACCTTCACAGGGGCGATCAGGGGCCACTTATACCTGTGTGTATGTATACACAGACTGTGTGCACCAGCCCTCTTGACGTGCTAGCACCAACACTGGAAGGGTAGCTAGTGCCTGGTCAATGGTCTAGAAACACATCTACTCATCGTGGCTGTTGCTGTTCAGTTGGCCCACTCCAGACAAATGCTTGCAAAAGACACTGCAGTCCTAGCCATGGGAGGCTGTTGGGGCAGTGGGCTCTGGAGTGGTGACCCCAAGCCTCTCCCCAGCAGCATACAAGGGCAACTGACCCCCAAGATACCACTCAGCTGCAGGTTCCTTCACCATGCCCACCCAAGGGTTTAAACCTGAGTCCTGCACACTGCAAGACTGTTCAGCTGGCACAAGAGTCTCCCAACACGCTCAGGTTGACACCTACCTGCAGGGTGCTTCTCCTGGCCAAACCAGACCCAGGGCAGGCAGAGCCCCTCAAGCTCTCCTGCAGACTCACTGCAGTATCTGCTCCTCTCTCCATCAGTGCCACAGAGGAAGTGTGCCAGTACTGGGAGGCCTCCTTCCCATAAGACAACTCCATTAAGGGAGCACGGAGTGCAAGCCCACCTGAGCACACTTGTACATGTCTAATTCAGAGAGAGATGTTCACCCCATGAGATGGGGCCCTGTGCAGCTTCTCCCATTAGCAAGGTCCCAGTGCTCTTCCCCAGCACCAGGAACCCTGCGCTTCAGCTCAGGGGCCTTTTACTCCTGCCAGAGCAGCTCTGCTCACACGTTCTGGGATGGGGACAGGTCTTTAAATGCTTTCAAACATACCCTCACATCCTCTGCTGCAGCAGGCACTGCAGAGGTAGGCACTGGCTCTCCTGCAAGGGTTGTCCTGCAGGCCGCCACATAAAGGACATCGGGTTCTTCTCCACGGTGGCTTTGGGAGACCCCAGACAGGTCTTCAGAGCAAACTCTTCTGCGTCCAGTTCTTCAGAGGCAGGCAGACATGGAAGGGACACCAAACCCCACTTTGCCAGCAGACAGGGGACAGTGGGGGGCTGCACTGCCAGCTCCTGCAGATCTCCAGAGCAAACAGATCAAGGCCTTGTGTCTGGCACCACCACCTCTTCCCAGACCATAAGCCCGGTGGAGAAGAGCCTCCAGCTTTGGAAAAGGCATGTGAGCTTGGCCAGGCACCAGGTTTAGAGAGGAGCAGTCAGTGCCTGCCCACCAGGGATGGAAGATGCCAAGCTCGTGTCCTCCATGGGACTCTAGGACTCTGGCTGGAGCAGGTGTGGTGGGGAGCTCAAGGACTGTTGCATCCAACTCAGGTAAGGAAGGAGGTAGGGGACAGCGCTGGCTGTGCCACCACCAAAGGTCAGTCCTGCATCTTCTGCCTGGCAAGGCCCTGCTCACCCAGTCTGCCCTGAGGCTCCTGGTCAGGGGAGGCCACCACAGTGCCCCCACAGGTCCATGCCAGTGTGGTTCCCTGTTGGGGCTGCATGGCTATGCCTGCAACCCCAGTGGGGAAATCCTACCTGCAACTGGGAGCACACACATGAGTGATGCTCGCTGGCCAGGGAGTGGGTGAGAGCTCCCAGACACCAGAACCTGCCTAGCTGTGCTGATGCAGACCTGGGTGCAGCCCCAGCCATCCCTGCTGTGTGGTCCTGGGCATAGGTGCCCTGGCTGCATAGGCAGCACTGAGCCCTGCAGCTCTCCAAGCAGGATGCTCACTTGGGCACAGCAGCAGCGATGCTCTGCACCATTCCCAGCACACAGCAGAGGCAGGAGGGGAGCAGCTGAGGACAGATCTCACTGCAAAGGGTGCTGGCACCGCTCCATGCAGCCTTAAGGCAGGCTGGTTATTTTATACTTAGCTTTGAGTAGCAACAACATCTACAGGATCTCCAGCATCTATAAGAGATTTGGTGTAAGAAGCATGTTCTCATGATCAGAGGAAGTCAAGGATGGATTGCCAACTAACACAGTGGCAAAATGATCAGCTGCACCAACTGGGCAGTGCCATAGGCTGCAACCAAGCCCAAACAAATATACTGTAAAGTCAACTGAAATCCTGCTACACAGAGAGATGGCTCCCTGTGAGCTGGTGACAGAGGGCTGATGTGCCACCATCAGGTGGTAAGATGTGAGTTATCAGAAGATAAATGAGTA